TGTCCCGCAGTAACCGCATGTCCCCTCTCGGTCAGACACATTTCCGAGTCTGCATCAGAATATCGAATTTCGCCGGGATTGAACGAGCTTTGAAAAAAAAAAATTGCCTGTTCCGTTCGATATTAATGAAAAAATTGCGTCGTCGCGAAGAGAGTAATGGATTGAAATTGTTTTATTAAAAGTTTATATTTTTTGTTGCATCTCTATAAAAATACTGATACTATTATATATGTATATAAAAGAATAAAGATTCTAAACAAACAAATCAAAGAATTCCAATAGAGCCCAGAACAGACAGATCGGAACAGACATAGGATATGAACGTGTGTAGAAAGAATTATTTGAAATTATTAAATACAGACGTTTCGACCTTCAGTTTGGGTCTTCTTCAATGTAACACTGTTAGCTAAATAGTAATTTCGCGCTCTACAGTAAACCATTAAAATTGTCAAACTGAATAATTACAAAATTTAATAATCACCAAACGATCTCTACAGACTTTATTGGAATTTAAAAATATATATACTGATATAATACAATACATATAATATTGTAGACACAAAGGAATATATATTTTTCAAAAAAAATCAATATTAATTCTTCTTTATTATTTTCATTGAGGAAAATTTACGAAGCATTTACTTTAATCGAAACATCGCCTCGATATAGCAGATTTATATTTCTGACGACCTTTCGTGGATTTTCAAGCCCGTCCTTGCCCGATCGCGAACAATGCGCTAATAAGAAGCTCCTCGCGTTGTTAGATGATTTATGTTAATATCGTTGACCGAGTGCTGCAAAATACAAGGTGTCCCAGAACTCGTGACCTTAATTTCAATGACAAATTTCTCGACCGATCTGACACCGATTCTTCTTTATGCGGAAAATTCCGTCGCTCTCGTCGAAGCTTGTTTGTCCCGCGAGAGTAAAGTCCATCTGAGTAAACTTGAATGGATTTAAAAAAAGATATTTCGTTCTTTAATTGCAATCTTGAGTTGATAATTCTGGAACCTCGTCTGGAACTTTCCGTGCTTCGACGAATTGAGGAAAAATTGCTTGTAAATCGTTCGGATCAGATTCAATAATGAAGATAAGCCCAGGGGTTCTCTACGTACATCAGTACGCGCATCATTGCAATTGATTCGACGTAAGCGGACATAAAAGGTACGACTAAGATACTCGCTCGAGTTACGACGACGCGATGATAAGCTAGCGCAAGATAATTGCCCAAGCGAGGCTATTCTTTACAACGATTTGTTAGAAATCCTAGAATAGCCCATTTAATTGCTTCCCGTAGCTGATCCTTACGACAGCCCGGAGCTATTTCACGTAAATAATTACGTCAATCCGTCTTTGTTTTATCGACGATTCTTTAATCGAAGCGAATGCGGTAATTTTATAAAATGGATATAGAGATTTGAAAAGCCGCTGTAAACGTGTGATGTGTATTTCTAAGAAATTTTTGTAAAATTATTTGTTGAGGATGGAAAGGTTTTTATCGTGATAAGATATTTTTATCATTGTCCTCATAATTAATGATTTCGTATTAGTACATCGTTCATTTTACGAGACAGAACATTATTTTTGCAATCGTATGACTTTCAGAATATTTCCCTAACGTCACACATTCTCATAAATCATATACCATCAGCGAGAGATATCGTACTCATAATAATATACAATTTCGTGAGCATTACTAGTAGTAGGTAAATTAATATGTAATAACGCATGATATACGAGAAATACATCAACGGGAATACATACAATGTGGATATCAAGCGACAAGTGAATTTTAATGATAATTAGCGTGCTTTGGAATTAGTTTCAAGCGCAAGCGTTCTATTTTTACGTGCCATTATGTGCCCGCATAGACTATATTATTCCACGTACTGCGAAATATTTCGCAGAGAACGTAAAACAAAGAAGAAAGCGCCGAGAGACGTGTCGAAAATGATTGCGCATGTTTAATAATTAATAGAAGTGCATATATACCGTTGGTTATTGTTTGATATCCAACGGTCTATATGTACTTTGATAATGCTTCATTAAGTAATAGCAATCCAATCCCTCGAGTTAACTAACAGTTTGTTATTTTTAACTTTCATCTGTGTCAAAATGTAAATTAATCCATCTCTGCGGTTAGTTCAAAGTAAACATTATGCTTATTAACGTACACATAAGTAATAAATAAAATTTGTACAATGACTTGGTGATTTTAATTTATTGCGACGATTTGTCCTACTTTTTTACGCTGATAAAAGCTAGAAAGTGACCGAAACCACATATTTTATCATGTGACGAAATTAATTTTTATTATATAACGCCAAATGTTAAACATTTTAAACTTCAGTTAAATATAGGATTTTTGTAATAATTCAGCACACTGATAACGCCAATTCCTAGTAACTCTAATTTCTTTATTGTATAAATTTTGTTAAAATTAAATTTAAATCAAAAATACATTTCTTTTTAATTAAATTGATTAACTCCATTGTTTTAGTCAAACTAATGTTAGATAGGAGTAGTGGCGACCTAAAGAAGTGATTGAAAATAACTCAAATTGAATATATTTATAAATTTAACAGTGCACGAGGTAATCAGCGTTTTTCACCGTCGAGCGGTGTTCACCTTTGACCTTGCGCAGAGTTTTATATATATGTATGCATATATATTTATATGTAGAGTACAATAGCCGGTTGGAAAAGCACGCGAATTTTCTCCAGCATATTTCCTCGGAAAATATTTTCCTCGCGTCGCCGACGTCGATGGAATTATCCTCGTGCGCGTCGCTTTGCGACTGTCCGTCAACTTTTTTTGTCTTGCTTTTTCCGTGAAAATCACGTCGCGGCGTTAACGCGACGGGAAATCCTGATACGCGATAAGTGGCAGGAAAACGTACGGTTTTCGAATCGACGAGTTATTGGGTTAGCTCGTTCCGCATGGAATTTTTCCCCGACGACGAGTTTGCAACGAGGACCCTCGATAGCGAATCACGATATGAAAGACGCCGCGTGATTTCGGCGATTTCACTGAGCTCGCCCACAATGGCATCCCATACGAGGGATTTCACGGTCGACGAAACGTTTTTCATGCGGCTCTATTTCCAGTGTGGCCCAGGGTCGCGACCAATGGCGGGTCTGGCAATATTTCGATTCGAGTATCCGTCTCTATTGGTTAAAGGCCACGGAGGACGCTTGATGAATCTCAATGGAGATTCGCTCTTCACGCCGCTCTTTTTCAAAGACGCTTAACGCAGAGTCTCGGAAACGTTTCACAACAATAGCACGGAGTTATAGCTTAGGAGTAAACCCAGATAGCAGAGAATTCAAAAAGAACTCGAAAAGAATTCAGTCATCAATTCTGAGTTCACTTTCAGATGCAAAAAAAAATTCTTTTTGTAAAAAGTTCTGAAAAGAATTCTTTTTGCATTTGAAAATGAACTTAGAATTCTCTATGTTATTTAAAAAAGATTATGTGTCAGTAAAGTAAAAGTAAAGGTAAATTAATTTTTTAAATAATCAGTCATTTTTCTGATTAAGGCCTGTTTCTATCAATGCAGATTAACTCTAATCTTGATTTAACTTACTTTTTTATCTTTACTTTGTTCTAAGAATTAAGAAAAAAATAAAGAATTACTTAGAAAGTAAATTAAAGGGATTAAAATTAATCTACCAATTTATCAATTAATGATTGAAATGGTCATAAATTAGGTAGTAAGATAAAACGCTAATTTCGCGGTGATATTTTCTTAAAATTATATCGCAGTAATGTAATAACGAGTCGTAAAACTGTATAGATTACTTTATAATTATGAAATTGTGAATACTTGAAAAGCGTTAAAGAATTACACAGAAAGAACAGTTTTGTTGTATCTAAAAATTTAAAGTATCAAAAAATTTAATTAGATACAGACCTGAAAATAATTTTGTCGGACTATCAAAATAATTATACTCGAACTAATTGCTAGAATGTCAAAACTTTTGCAAACTCAGGCTTCAATTTCCCACGTAATTGTATTGATGATCTAACAACATTATTTTCTGTTTTCTACTTATTTTTAGATCCTGTAGTAAAATCATTCTTTCCGTGTAGCATTTAGACAAAAAACAGACAGAGAATTATTTGAAGAATTAAATTATCTCCAGATAAAAAACAATAATTTTAAAGTACATTTATTATTCATTATCTAAGCCAGATGTGATACGTTGCCAAATTAACAAATCGACTGACGAATATGTTCAGCGATAATCGAAGCGAAACCGTGATATCGGCATGTAACGATTGCAACAGCAATGGACAACAAACGATTTCAACGCTTCACGAGAGGCACTTGTAATTGTTCGCGCGCGTGATCCACTTTTCAACCGTAACAATTGCGAAAAATACACCAAGTGGCTCGACCGATAGCGATCCGATATCTATCGAAGAGCGATGCTGCGGTTTTCGTAAACGATCGAAGCAGCGGTTTGATCAGGGTATATATAATGTAAACTCGAACTCTCGAGTAGAAATTAGAAACGATCCAAACAATGAAGATAATCGGCAAATGGATTGCATTATTCCAATATAATTTCTAATATCCAAGATAATAACAAAAAAAAAAACATTGAATCATGCGATAGAAATAAAATTTGAAATTTCCTTTTAAAATTTTATTCTAAAATATTATTCAAAATTTTCTTTTGTGGAAAAGTAATCTAATCAGTTCTTCTCCGATTTGTGTAATGTCATTGACGATCAAACCGCTGGCGACGATCGCAAATTTAATTAGATATTTAGAGATAATTATAACTGCATGACTTTCTGAGTTAAAGGATCAATGAGAGAGATGGAAGGCATCGTTGTGCCCTCTCACGGAGAAATCACATGCTATGAATCATATTCTTTAGTATCGCTGGATAGTAGCAATCATATATACCGACGAACAGTTATTAAGTTCCAAGCTAAATACTTCTTGCACGAAACTACTCATCGGATTAATTTATAATAAAAATATGTACCTGCGGTAATAGATTTCTGAAAAAGCAATTATATATATTATGCTATTATATTCATTTTTTATTAGATAATTATTATATTAATTAATTTTATTTATATTATTATATATATCTATTATTCTTTTACATTGTCCATTCATAGATTCACATTATATATTTGTTATATTATATTTTTTTATTTTTTTATTACATTATTATATCAAATGATTTTATTTATATTATATTATTGTATTCCTATTATATGTCTATTCACAAATCCATTACCCAAGGCTAAAATAAAAATTTATTCACTCACCGATATGATGCGCAGCGGCGGAGTTGTAGCGACGTTAATCTGTAACATAAGAGATACATTCAAATTATAGCAGCGTTCAAAGTAATCAAAATTTAAAAAAACAACTGTTGAATTTTTTACTTTCATTGTTTTTGAACAGATATAAAATAATTACACATATTTAAAAAAAATCACTTTTTACAAAATTATAAATAAAACAAAACCTCTTTTTCAAATATAAATAATAAATACTCTTCAAAATTTTTAGAGTGAATCTCACTTTAAAGAATAAAATTTTATTCTTAAAAATTGAAAATCGAGTCACTCTTTTTCAAGACTGACTCTTAATTTTCATTTTTTAGAGATTCCACTTGAAGAAATTTAGAGAATTTAGAAAATAATGATTCTAATAATCAAAAAAGGCTATAAAAGTTTAAAAAATTCTCTTTCTCTGAATCCTCTCGCACAAATAGAAACAGATAATTAATCACGAATTCAAATAATATAGAATATTAGAAAAAATATGTGTAATAATAAATCACTCACCCAAGATTGCTCCGCCAGCACCTGATGCCTCCCCGGCCCTCCTCCTCCACTCAGCTTCCCAGAAGTGCGTTCTAAAACTCGACTCTCAGTCAATCCGAGTATGATTTTATCCCTGTTGTTCACCGAACACACTTCAGATTGCATGGCACACACCGTTCAAATATGGCGACCGCGCCAAGCGTATTCAAGCAGAACAAGTCATGATAATATCAAAATTCTGTTAAAATGTAATCATAACTGATTGAAAAAAAACTTTTAGTGATCATTTTGGCATCATTTTGATATCATTTCGTGTTTTGGATGCCAATTATATACTTTATAAAACGAAGTAAAAATTACAAAATTGAATAAACTCGTTATATATTGACTAACAAAATTATAAATATTCTAGCGAATTTGCTCACGCTTATAATTTTCACTTCAAGATACCCAATCAATCATCTGCTTGATACTTTATACGACACTCCCGAGAATCACTCGCGTTAACTAATAATTACGATCGCGCGATACTTTCCACGCACTTCCACACGACGAGACTTCACGACAACAGAATATTTCATGACGGACTTTACGACGAGTTCAGGGCAACGCGCGAGATCACTCACATTGACTTGTGATTAATTATACGATCCTGCGACACTTTTCGCGATGTCACAACAATAAGACAACGCGAGAGCACGCGAGAGAAGTATGAAAGACGCGGGATCGCACTCCGTTCGCCGAATCGTCGCTGGGACACCATGTAACACGACAAGACTCGAAGTGAGCCGAACGAGGCCGAACGGCGCGACGGCGGATTTGAAAATTCGATGACGCGCGACCAACTTCATACCGACGCGACGCCACCGCTGCCGTTTTCGGGCACCTACGCAATTTTCGCACCTTTCAACAGCGAACGACGCTCACGTTTCAGGATGCTTTTTGCTTATTTTCGTACAGAAAAATTTTAGAAAATAAATGAACGTATTACGAGTCAAAGAAAAGAAAAACAAATGCCCACGATAGAACGCGATACCGGGAAATGCGATTGTCATTGTTTTGTTAACTGCCCGATGAATCTCGATTGAAAATACAATCTTGAGCAACGGTTTTCGATAAATGAGTGCACGAATGTCGAATTCTGCATTACGTGATCGCGAAATAGCAAAACGTAAACGGGGCTAATTATGATAATATTTACCAATTGAACGCCACTCGTCGCGTCGTCCGTATCTGTGACAATTGCGACTCGTCACTAGCCGAGAAGAAGCAGGTTTGCCAACCTTAGCTTGATATCAATAGAAATCGATCGAAAGGCGCTTTTTCATGGTGTACTCAATATTCATTTTCAGTATCAAAATAGGAATTATATGATCAAAATTAACGTTGAACATTGAAAATGTATGAGAAAAAGTGTAGCGTTATGTATGTAGCGTATAATCTTGAATCGAGCGATTTTAACGCTGTTTTTTAGCTCATGAAATGGCACCTACAGGTTGTATATTCGAATGAAAGTCTGAAATCTTTTGAAAATTTGTCTCGAAAACTAGTATTGCACGTACACTATATCCGGCAAAATAATAATGCAATGTATTGTAATAACCATCGATGCGTAAATTAATGTTTCTCGTTACTATCGAGTGCCATCAGCGCACTATTTTGCGTTCTCAATCTGGCGGACAAATCACATTTGAATCGAGTCGCGAAGAATCCAACCGCGAATATATTCATATCCAAGCAAAATATACTAAAAGCATAATTATCATCCGAAAATATCCGTGATGAGATAATAATACACACGATTAATTACTGAATTTTGTTGTCTCGATTCATTTACGTAACGAATAAATTATTGCGCACCATGTCTCTTCCTCAACGAACAGAATCGTTGTTTCAATACTATGAATAAATACCTATCGTCATATTATAGATCTATTCGCGTTACTTCCTCCAAAATCCTCCCAAATTTTGCATTTAAAGTGAGATATATTGAGCCTTGAAGAGAAAAAAACAAAGCTTGTGCTAAATGCTTAGTGCAAAAAGTGCAAGCAACGCGAACAGATCTTTTTTGTAAGTACAGATCGAACGCGTATTACTATTCGTATTCACAAACTCGTACTACTCGTGGTTGCTTTTTTCGAACTAACCGTTAATTGACGAAGCGTCTCTACCGTGCCGCTGCCTTGCTGTTTGAAGCTCGCCGCGTGAATGTCGCAGTGATAAACAACAAGGTGAGCAAAGGTATGCGAATAACAATGCGACGTCACCGAGTGTAGTGACATACGTCACGCGCAACTGAAAAACAAAACAATGGCCCGTTCATATTTCGTTATTCATAGTCCGTTTTTATTTCAAGATTGTCTTATAAGTAATGTCTTAAAACACGCTAATATATTGGTTCGTGATTTCTTAAGACTGTACTTACTTTCTTAAGATAGTCTTGAATATAAGATCTGACTATGCATACTGGCCGTAGTCAGTTCTTATATTCAAGACTGTCTTAAGTTCTGTCTTGAGATGTCACGAACCAATAAGAGAGCCGTATTAACATCTTAAAACATTATTTAAGACAGTCTTGAAATAAAAACGGATTATGAATATCGGCCAATAAATCTGCTCTTTTTTGAAGAATTCTGAACTAGTTCTGAAATAGTGCAATAAATTAAAGTGAAACAAATTATAATTTCTCTCTATCACTGTAACTTATTGCACCAGTATTTTTTTTTTCAATTCAGAACTCGGGAAAAGAACAGACCTAATGATCTCTCTTTCTCTCTCTCTCTCTCTCTCTCTCTCTCTCTCTCTCTCTCTCTCGTCGAGTATTTATTAGGGGTACGTTCCACTTAGTTCTACTTGGCATTTGCAGCACTCGCGAGTAATATTTTATCCTTGCTTAATATTTAATTTGATACAACAAGGATAAAATAATGCTCGCAAGCGTTGCGAACATCAAATGGAACGCACCCTAGATCTATTTTTTATTCTCGCATTAGATTGTATTAAAAATTTCTTTTTTGCTTTTGCCAAATATTAAACATATATTTATTCCACTTTAAATATTTAAGTTCCAAAAATATATACTAATCCAGCTATGGAAAATCTTATATTACCTGTTAAGAAAATCTTTTAATCTGTTACCGCACACACTTATAAATACACACATACACGTATTTTTAAATTATAAGATTTTTAATTATAAAATTCTAAGTAGATAGAATATTCTCTCTCTCACATTCTTTTTAGTCGGGATATAAATCGATAAAGATCAATTATTTATCATATGTATGATTCGTTATTTAATTTGAAAATTATTTTGTCAAAAGAAGACTAATTTATTATTGCATAGTTTATTATTACATTATATCGTATACCACGGTTGAATGTATGGATACGAAATGTAATTGCATATACGCGATATGAGAAAGAAACGGAGATAGCGCAATATAATATTGTTTCTATATTTTATCAGTACATAGCGCGGTTACATTTTCCTATAATCAGCATTTCTGCAACGTGAATCTATAGTGATTATGTACTCGTAAATTTTTTCTTCTTTTTACATTCCGTACGTACATATAACATTAATAATATTCGTAAACACAAGTATTGTGTGACGTAAGTTATTTGTAATTTTAGTTAAATAACTTGCAGTTTCCCTAATTTATTTTTAAAATAAATATTTCTGGAATTGCATTATCAATCTTAATGACAGGTCCTGTTCGTTGATTTATTTGAAACTTGTTGATCAATGTATTTATAACAAGACAAGTATACGCTCCTGTGTCACAGATTTTCCGCTTCCAACTTCCGTCTAATTTCCTAATAAACGCTTAATCGAGCGGTACCAGGAATGAGAGAGCCGGGATCATGAGAGAACGCAAACTCGAGTATGATAACCCGCAGACACGACGTCTCGGCGATACGGCGAGGGTTATCAGAGTTATGAGAGTTACGTTGAATAGTCGGAAAATCTGGAATAACACTCGCGGGAGTTTCACATCACGTTATCATTAGACATAGCAAAACACGATCCCAAGGCCAGGAGACGAATATGCTTGCGAGGATCTTTTGGAAGGCACGTGTATATTTCTATTATTATTATTATACTGACGTAAATAAGATAGCAATTAATCTCAGCTAATTATTTATTTCCTAGAAATTAAAGTTAGAAAAATTGTTGAAACATAGTTAAACGCAGGTATCTATGAAATCTCTCTGGGAGACATTTTTGTTTTTTTATTTATAAGACTATTTTCTATTTTATTTTTTTTCAAAGAACGTACCTTTTATGAAGAATGAGAGTCAAAAGCAAATTCTCGAGCAAGGCAAGTTGGAAGTAAATTTTTTTTCAAAATGACGTTTTTTAATTTTTTTCAAAGTCTGAAGAGTTCCAAAGAAATGAAACTCATCATTGGAACGAGAAAGGATAAGGAAAAAGCGATGTGAATCTGCAATTCTTAGGATGACGTAGAGACAACATGTTTACTGAAATCTTGTAAAAGAAAAACAGTTCGCAGATTTTCTCAGTATTTTTCCCAGATTTTTTCAGTATTTTTGTTTAAAATTTCAAATATAATTAGTAAATTTTTTGAACTTCAAAATAAATTGGAGTGCAAATAGTGCAAACGAATTACATATTAAAAATTACAAGACAGCAATTTCATGAGATGTCTATCATTTTTTATAATTGGAGCCGCAATGGCTACTATAAACGCTACAATTATCAAAAAAAATGATAGACATTTCATGGACATTAACCTACACAATAGTATAAAATCATTAATCTGATTTAACTATCATTTTTTTAATGAATAAATATAAATATTTGTATATTGTAAATAAATGTTTAATTAGTACTATTCAAAGAAATATGTATTAAGATTTAAAAAATTTCATTTTATTATATCTAAAAGTTTACAGATACAGATCTAGAAATAATTTGGTTAAACCATCAAAATAATAACGTATAGAAACCGCAATTATAATGAGCAACGCTGTAAAAAGTTGACATTCTGGCAAATAATTTGAGCGTTCTGCAGAATTATTTTCGTGCAGATTTTCCAGGTAGTAAACATTCCGAGAAAAGGACACTGATTGTGAGAATCGCACAGTCGGTGGTCTACGCGACGTGGACGGTTCTCGCGATTTAATCCGCGCTCGTAACCCTTCTCCTCTCTTTGCACAGGCTCAAGGGGTTAATGATAAAAGTAGCCGGCACGAACATCGCGCCTTCAGTCGGTCTGCAGCCTCTCTGTCGGCTGTTGTTCCCCTGCCGCTCTCTCAAACGTTTTTCTCGCGAGGAAGAGGAAGCGCCTCGAAGCGTGCCTCTCGTTAATATGCCTGTGACGATCTAAGATTTTCTCGCAAATCACGAGTACACGCGTGAATCGAACAGTGTGAATCCTCAGATAATGATGTATAAGCTAATCGTGTCTTGTGCATTTCTCTGCCTGTTCTATCCGCGCT